TTTATTTGAGACAGAGTTTCACTCTTGTTACCCAGGCTGGAGTGCAATGGCGCCATCTCTGCTCACCGCAACCTCCGCCTCCTGGGTTCAGGCAATTCTCCTGCTTTAGCCTCCCGAGTAGCTGGGACTACAGGCACGCGCCACCATGCCCATCTAATTTTTGTATTTTTAGGAGAGATGGGGTTTCACCATGTTGACCAGGATGGTCTCGATCTCTTGACCTTGTGATCTGCGCATCTCGGCCTCCCAAAGTGCTGGGATTACAGGTGTGAGCCACCGTGCCTGCCCAACAAGCAAATTATTGAAAATTAGAAAATGAATAAGGGAAAAATGAAAGTCTGATTTTATTTCTGTAAAAAGTACTGTATATATTTTAATATATTTTCTTTTTGACTTTATGCATATATATTTACCGAAACATAGTAAGTTTGTTCAAATCTTTCATTTTCTTTTTTTTTTCCTTTTTTTTTGAAGCAGTCTTGCTCTGTTACCTAGGCTGGAGTGCAGTGGCATGATCCCAGCTCACTGCAGCCTCCACCTTCCAGGTTCAAGCGATTCTCATGCCTCAGCTATCCAGGTAGATGGGGTTACGGGCATGCACCGCCACGCTGATCTTATTTTAGTAGTTTTAGTAGTGATGGGGTTTTGCCATGTTGTCCAGGCTGGACTCAAACTCCTGGGCTCAGTCAGCCCACCTTGGCCTCCCAGAATGCTGGGATTACAGGTGTGAGCCACCATGTCAGGCCTAAATTTTTTTTTTCATGCCTTTCTGATCTGGCTGGTACTGGCAGAGATTTTAGTCTCCCACTGTTTTACTCTGGAGTCTCCATTATAATGGTTTTGAAATGTTGATTCAGAACAACCTAAGAGATTTCAATATTCTTCCATAGAAAGATGATTTTTCTCATGCCCACTCTCACCTCCAGTCCTTGACTCACATAATTGCTACACTTAGTGACATTTTTTAAGACTTTCTCTTTTTAAATTGCATACATTTAGTTATTTTACATTTTTTTACAGATGGGGTCTTGCTGTGTTGCCCAGGCTGTTCTCCAACTCCTGGCCTTACAGCTCCAGCCTACTGTACATATTTAAGATGTATAACATGGGCCGGGCACGTTGGCTCAAGCCTGTAATCCCAGCACTTTGGGAGGCCGAGGCGGGTGGATCAGGAGGTCAAGAGATCGAGACTGTCCTGGTCAACATGGTGAAATCCCGTCTCTACTAAAAATACAAAACATTAGCTGGGCATGGTGGTGCGTGCCTGTAATCCCAGCTACTCAGGAGGCTGAGGCAGGAGAATTGCCTGAACCCAGGAGGCGGAGGTTGTGGTGAGCTGAGATCACGCCATTGCACTCCAGTCTGGGTAACAAGAGCGAAACTCCGTCTCAAAAAAAAAAAAAAAAAAAAAGATGTATAACATGAAGATTCGATACACATAGTAAAATGATTACTATAGTCAAGCGAATTAACTTGTCTTACCTTCCATAGTTGTCTATACGTGTGTGTGGAGGGGTGAGAGTACCAAGTAATCTACTCCGAGCACATTTTCAGTGTGTAATACAATATTAGTAAGTGTACTCCTCATGTTGTACATGAGATCTGTAGACTTGCAAGACTTTTTTTTTTTTTTTCTGAGGCAGAGTCTTACTCTGTTGCCCAGGCTAGAGTACAAATGGCATGATCTTGGCTCACTGCAATCTCTGCTGCTCAGCTTCAAACATTTCTCCTGCCTCAACCTCCCGAGTAGCTGGGATTATAGGTGCCCACCACCATGCCCAGCTAATTTTCCTATTTTTAATAGAGACGGGATTTTACCATGTTGAGAAGGCTGGTCTTGAACTCCTGACCTCAGGTGATCCACCCACCTCAGCCTCCTAAAGTGCTGGGATTACAGGTGTGAGCCACTGTGCCTGGCCTGTTCAACACTCTTATTCCCTCTCAGTATTGTTGTTTTGTTTCAGAGTTTTGTCTTTGGATCCTTCCTTCTAGCACTAACAATTTTTTAATAATACCTTCAGTGTGGTTAGTATCACTTCCAAGTTTCTTTCGCTAGTATTAGGTTTCTCCCCATTGTAAGCTGCATGAAGGCAGGGATTTTTACCTTTTGGAACTGCTGTAACTTCAGCATCTGTAACTGTACCTGACACATGGTAGGTACTCAGTATTTGTTGAATGAATAAATCTGAGATAATGAAAGCGTGAATGTGAGTAAACACATTTTTAAAAGAAAAAAAGTAACTCTTCCATTTTAAACTCTGGACTTTTTTCATTGTCAGTTTTGTACACTTCTTTCTTGTCAGTATTGGGGTAGACTTATGTAAATTTACTCTGTTACAGGGCCATGTGCTCTCCAGTCTGTCTCTAGAGTGTGGTCATTTTTCCTTTATTTTCAAATACTGTTTCTGTAGTTAAAGCAGCATAATTATCATTCTTTTATTAAATCTTTGTCCTATAAGGAAGTAAATGGAAATACTACTTCCTATTAACAAGGAATTATTAATTTGTATACTTTAAGCCTTTGACCAGTAGTTAAATGCAGCTTCCTGACTCAGTATAATGATATTTCTTTTTAGACCTTGGGCTTTCACCCATGGAAACAGGAAGCAAATATTAGAAGATAATTTATTCTGAGGTTGAGTGGGGTGACTGACACCTGTAATCCCAGGACTTTGGGAGGCCAGGGCAGGAGGAGGATCACTTGAGGCGAGGTGTTCCAAACCAACCTGGTGAACATAGTGAAACCCCCATCTCTGCAAAAAATGTAAGGAAACCGTGAAAAAAGAAAATAATCTGAGGGATTCATACAAAAAAAAAAACAAAACCCCACAATATTTGTGAGATTATGTAAACCTTCTTAAAACAGAAGATATTGGCCGGGCGCGGTGGCTCAAGCCTGTAATCCCAGCACTTTGGGAGGCCGAGGCGGGTGGATCACGAGGTCGAGACCATCCTGGTCAACATGGTGAAACCCCGTCTGTACTAAAAATACAAAAAATTAGCTGGGCATGGTGGCACGTGCCTGTAATCCCAGCTACTCAGGAGGCTGAGGCAGGAGAATTGCCTGAACCCAGGAGGCGGAGGTTGCGGTGAGCCGAGATCGTGCCATTGCACTCCAGCCTGGTTAACAAGAGCGAAACTCTGTCTCAAAAAAAAAATAGAAGATATTTTCAGTCTTATATGTTTCAGTACCCACAAAATGATATCCAGTATGTTCTTGGATTACTACACCAAATTCATTGATTCTTAAGATTTTCATATGTCACACTGATTTGGAAAAGAAGATCGTTCTAGAATAAATTTATTCCCAAACTGCTCTCATGTCACTGTTCTTTCCTAGGCAGAGATTTGAGGCAGCATTTGCTCCTGTGCTTCTCTGCCCCTGCTTTCCACTCAGAGCGTTTCATAGGTCTCAATGCTGACAAGGGACTGACAGGCAAAAAGCACACACTAATGATTGACATATTGATATTTGTGGTATGAATTGTAGAGTTGTTTGGGTATCATTCTCAAACATTCTTTGACCCTATAATCCCAGTTTTTGAAATCTCCTAGGAAGACAACTCTTAAGAGAAAAAGCTCTCAGCAGTTTTCACTAAAATGTTTAAGGTGATTCTCTAAAATAGCATATACGCCTAATAATTGAGATTAATATGATGTTTGAAAATGTTCCAGAAGTGATCTTGAAGAAAACAAAGTAAAATATACATACCAATTGCATTCATTAAAAAGAAGAGTATTGGGCTGAGTGTGGTGGCTCACACCTATAATGCCAGCACTTTGGAAGGTTGAGATGGGTGGCTCACCTGCGGTCTGGAGTTCAAGACTGGCCTGGCCAACGTGGTGAAACCTTATCTCTGTATAAAATAATACAAAACATTGGCCTGACGTGGTGGCGCATGCCAGTAATCCCAGCTACTCTGGAGGCTGAGGCAGGAGAATCACTTGAACCTAGTAGGTGGAGGTTGCAGTGAGCTGAAATTGCACCATTGTGCTCCAGCCTGGGCAACAAGAGTGAAACTCCTCAAAAAAAAAAAAAAGGAGGCCGGGCGCGGTGGCTCAAGCCTGTAATCCCAGCACTTTGGGAGGCCGAGGCGGGTGGATCACGAGGTCAAGAGATCGAGACCATCCTGGTCAACATGGTGAAACCCCGTCTCTACTAAAAATACAAAAAACTAGCTGGGCGTGGTGGTGCATGCCTGTAATCCCAGCTACTTAGGAGGCTGAGGCAGGAGAATTGCCTGAGCCCAGGAGGCGGAGGTTGCAGTGAGCCGAGATCGCGCCATTGCACTCCAGCCTGGGTAACAAGAGCGAAACTCCGTCTCAAAAAAAAAAAAAAGGGGGGGGGGATTTGTTGATGGAGGTTGCAAGAGAATAGAGTTATGTGACTTGTTGGTCTTAAGTTTGTTGAATCCTTTTCAGATAAAGATGTTTAAACATACATTAAAAATTTAGCCATTACTGGTTGTGGTGGGTCACGCCTGTAATTCCAGCACTTAGGTGGATGGGTCACTTGAGGTCAAGGGTTTGAGGCCAGCCTAGCCAGCATGTTGAAATCCCATCTCTACTAAAAACAGAAAAATCAGCCAGGTGTGGTGGGTGTGTAGTAATCACAACTACTTGGGAGGTTGAGGCAAGAGAATCACTTGAACTCAGGAGGTGGAGGTTGCACTGAGCTGAGACCACACCACTGTACTCCAGCCTGGGCAATAGAGTGAAAGACTGTCTCAGTAAAGAAAAGAAAAGTTCAGCCATTATAACAAATAACTGGATAAAAGAGAAGTTAGTTTATTTAAATTTGAGAAGTACTTGAACAGTGTAGTTATACATGCATATGCAAAGTAAATATAAAGAATGTATATGTACTGAAAACTCTAGATGTCATATCTGGGCAAAAATGTAGTATTTTTAGTGAAAGACAGCAATCTCTGAATAACTACAGAAACATCTGTCACCAAGTAGAAATTGTTTCTAACAAATGTGTAACTTTACTCTTGCAGGCCAAAGAGTGTGGCCAGATGCAGAATAAGTGGCTGATGATAAACATTCAAAACGTACAAGACTTTGCATGTCAGTGCCTCAACCGTGATGTGTGGAGCAACGAAGCTGTGAAGAATATTATCCGGGAACATTTCATTTTCTGGCAGGTGAGAAGGAGGGTTCATCAGAAGTTTTGTAGAATTTAACTTTTCTAATGTGGGATGTTGAAGGAAAGGAATTGGGTTATAATGAATTAAGACATTTTTTTAAAAAAGTAGGGCGGGCGCGGTGGCTCACACCTGTAATCCCAGCACTTTGGGAGTCCGAGGCAGGTGGATCACGAGGTCGGGAGATCGAGACCATCCTGGTCAACAAGGTGAAACCCCGTCTCTACTAAAAACACAAAAATTAGCTGGGCATGGTGGCGCGTGCCTGTAGTCCTAGCTACTCAGGAGGCTGAGGCAGGAGAATTGCTTGAACCCAGGAGGTGGAGGTTGCGGTGAGCCGAGATCGTGCCATTGCACTCCAGCCTGGTTAACAAGAGCGAAACTCTGTCTCAAAAAAAAAAAAAAAAAAAAAAAGTAAAACTGGCTGGGAGGCGGTAGCTCACGCCTATTATCCCAGCACTTTGGGAGGCTGAGGCAGGTGGATTACCTGAGGTCAGGAGTTTGAGACCAGCCTGGCCAACATGGTGAAACCACATTTCTACTAAAAATACAAAAAATTAGCCTGGCATGGTGGCAGGAGCCTGCAATCTCATCTACTTGGGAGGCTGAGGCAGGAGAGTTGCTTGAACCAGGATAGTGGAGGTTGCAGTGAGCCAAGATTGTGCCAGTGTACTCTAGCCTGGGTGACAGAATGAGACTCTGTCTCAAAACAGAAAACAAAAAAACTGTGCTTTTCAGTAGAAATACAGTGTAAGTTGTACACATAATTTAAAATTTTCTAGTAGCCTCATTAAAAAAGATTAATTGAAACAGGTGAAATTAATTATGTATTTGGTTAAATCAATATATCTATATAACTAAGACAAAAATGAGATTTTTGCTTTTATTTTCTTTGGTGTTAAGTCTTTGAGATACAGTTTGTATTTTATACTTACATCTCTTCTGCATTTGGAGTAGCCAGATTTCAAGTGCTTCAGTAGCCATTTCTGGGTAGTGGTTGCCAGGTATAGAAGATCTTGGAGTAATTGAATCCATTTGGCTAAGACTTAGATTTAAGCTTGTGTTTGATACTTTTTAACTGTATGTTCTTAGATAGGTCACTTTAGTCTTCCCAGCTAATGAGATAAGGTTAGAGACCTTGTACCATTTTTCTCCCACTGTGAGACAGGGTTTTGCTCTGTCAGCCAGGCTGCAATGCAGTGGCAAGAACATGGCTCAGCCTTGATCTCCTGGGCCCAAGTGATTCTCCCACCTCAGTCTCTTGAGTAGTTGGGACCACAAACATGCACCACCATGACCAGATAATTTTTTTTATTTTTCGTAGAAATGGGGTCTTGCCATAGTTGCCGAGGCTTGTCTTAAACTCAGGGGCCCAAGCCACTCTGAGCTTCCCAAAGTGCTGGGATTACAGGCATGAATCACCATGCCCAGCTCAATTTCTTATTTTGTGAAAAGTTGCAGAAAATGAAAACTTATGAATGAACTTAATTTTTTCCCCTACTGTAAGATACGCTATTAATGTTAATTTGCCTGTTTATATTTTACAGCTCCCTAAATTTAATGTAATTTTAATGATAATTCCTTGTATTTTATTCAGCAAATATTGATTGCCGCAGCTCTTTGCTTAGCACTGTGCTAGACTCTTGAGCTTATAATCCTTTTTTCTTTCTTTCTAAATAAATAGACAGGATCTTGCTCTGCCACCCAGGCCATAATGCAGTGTTACAGTCATAGCTCACTGCAGCCTCTTAACTCCTAGGCTCAAGGGATCTTCCCACCTCAGTCTCCTGAGTTGCTAGGACTGCAGGTGCACACCATTACACCTGGCTAATTAAAAAAACAAAACAAAACAAAAAAACAACTTCTTGTAGAGATAGGATCTTGCTATGTTGACCAGGCTGGTCTCAAACTCCTGGCCTCAAGCTATCCTCTGCCTCAGCCTCCCAAAGTGCTAGAGTTATAGATGTGAACTATCATTCAGAGCCAGAATCTTAATATATTGTGATTTATTAAGATATATATGGTTGAGAGTTATTAATGATAAAGGTTGACAGATAACTTGAGCAGGAAGAACAATACTTCATCCGAACTGGGGAAAAAAGAGGAATGGATCGATATGTTTATGGTAAGTTTCCAGAAGGGGCTGAAAGCAGGAAGTTGAAGGAGTTAACCACAGATGATGTTCATTATCTCTTTAACATACATAACCAGAGGTATATTTGGAGAGCTAATTGATGTTAGTATATAACAAGGTTACAGTTGGTTTTTTTCTTAGAGGCTGACTTTTTTTTTTTTTTAATATATCAATGATTTTACAGGTTTATCATGACAGTGAGGAAGGTCAGAGATACATACAGTTTTATAAGTTAGGGGATTTCCCCTATGTTTCCATATTGGACCCACGAACAGGTAAGATTTATATCACCATGCAGCTTTTAACCTACCACTTGTCTTTTCAGTTACCTAAATGATTGATCGTTAATATTTGACTGGATCTGGCTTCAGAGTTGTAATTTAGGTGAAGTTTTCCTGATTTAAACATCTGTTGATGTATTTATTTAGGACATCTTTTTCTGGCAGCATTGGAAAATGGTAGTGTTTTGTGCTTGTGTGTTTCTGCTCTTTTGAAGAGTAACTGATATGTTCATCTTACCGTTTTTAAGGGATTTCCACCCCCACCAACCCCCCGGGGATGGAGTCTTGCTCTGTCACCCAGGCTGGAGTGCAATGGTATGATCTCGGCTCACTGCAACCTCCACCTTCCGGGTTCAAGCAATTCTCCTGCCTCAGCCTCCAGAGTAGCTAGTATTACAGGCGTCCGCCACCATGCCCAGCTAATTTTTTGTATTTTTAGTAGACACGGGGTTTCACCATGTTTCCCAGGCTAGTCTTGAACTTCTGACCTTGCGATCCATAGCCTCGGCCTCCCAAAGTGCTGGAATTACAGGTGTGAGCCACCATGCCCGGCCTTAAGGGATTTTTTTTTAATGTTTTTTAAATCATTGAAATAGTAAGATTGTTAAGTTACTAGTTGTGATCCCTCCTGAGGAGCAGAGAGTGGAGCTGGTTTTATTAATTGATTGTGTTTTATATAGATACTGCTTTTTCTGAATCTGTTCTTCCTAAATGGCAGTAAGTGATAGCAGCATGTAAGATAGTTGCCCTGTCATGATGAGTGGGAATCTATTAGGTGAGTACAATTGATGCAACTTTTAGGTTACGAAGACACTATAGCATAAGCTGGTGGAGAGGGTTTGTCTTTACGGTATAATTATGCATATGCTGAAAGAGATGCTTAATGAGAGTGTTCAGAAAGATTGTGGATACTTACGTACCCTTGTTCTTAATCTTCAGGTCAGAAGCTAGTAGAATGGCACCAGTTAGACGTATCTTCTTTCTTGGACCAAGTGACAGGATTTCTGGGTGAACATGGACAACTGGATGGACTTTCTAGTAGTCCCCCCAAAAAATGTGCCCGTTCAGTAAGTATAATTAGGACGTGGTGATGGGAAAATAAATGTAATTGGTCATAAGCATCTTATATAAAATGTTTGATGTTAACATGGTAAAGATAATGTAACTAATGGATAGCTGTCACTTATGGCTGTAACATCTTAGATATCTTCCTTATATTTTGATAATTTCCCATGTGAGAGTTCCATCTTCTCAGTGAAAAATCGTGATACTCACACTCCTCCCAGTCTGTCTTGCAGCTAGAGTGCAGACAAATGCCTTACGATTTGGATTTAAAAGGAAGCAATGTAAATATGTTGAGCAGGAGGGCTGACCTGGCAAGCCTAGTGGTCGAGGTACCTGCTTCCTTAGGGACAGCTTTGGGAGGGCTTCTGATATCCAGGTCTAAATAGCAGTGAAAGTAGTGTATGTTTTGTGTGTTTTGTTTTGTTTTGGAGATGGGATCTCGCTATTTTGCCCAGGCTGTCCTAGAACTCCTGAGCTGAAGCAGTCCTCTCACCTCAACTGCCAGAGTAGCTAGGACTGTAGGTACATGCCACCACAGCCAGTTGGAAGTGGTGTTTTTTGTTTTTGCTAGAACAACTCTTATGGCATAGTTGAGCATTGTTATTGGTGAATGTAGCTTTAGGGCCTGGTTCTCTGGCCCTCCTAGAATTTATTTCTGTACTTAATTTGTAGAATATGTTATTACTAGGCAGACCTGTTTGAGAATTAGAATCAAGATTAGTTGCGAATAAGAGACTAAACTTCAAAAGATACAGCAATCTCACATTGGTTTTCATGGTTTATTTGGGTTTGATAGCAGTAAGGATAAAAATAGTTTGGTTTTGTTGTGTGTGTTTTATTTTGGGTTTTTTTGTTTTGTTTTGTTTTGTTTTGAGCTGGCGTCTCGTTCTGTTGCCAAGGCTAGGAGGACAGTGGCACAATCTCTGCTCACTGCAACCTCCGCCTCCTGGATTCAAGCAACTCTCTCGCCTCAGCCCTCTAAGTAGCTGGGATTACAGGCATGTGCCACCATGCCCAGCTAATTTTTGTATTTTTAGTAGAGACGGGGTTTCACCATGTTGGCCAGGATAGTCTTGAACTGCTGACCTCAGGTGATCCGCCCTCCTCGGCCTCCTAAAGTGCTGAGATTACAGGCTTGAGCCACCGCGCCCGGCCTGTTTTTCTTTAGACAGGATCTTGTTCCATTGCTCAGGCTGCAGTGCAGTGGTGTGATCATGGCTCACTACAGCCTTCACCTCTTGGGCTCAAGCTGTCCTTCCACCTCCGCCTCCTGTGTAGCTGGGACCACAGGTGTGAATCACCATGCCCAGCTAATTTTTTAAATTTTTGTAGACAGAGGTCTCCATATGTTGTCCAGGCTGGTCTCAAACTGGCCTCAAGCAATCCTCCTTTCTGAGCCTCCCAAAGTGTTGAGATTCTGGGCATGAAGAATCTCATTTATTTATTTTATTTTATTTTATTTTTATTTATTTATTTATTTATTTTTTTGAGACGGAGTTTCGCTCTTGTTCCCCAGGCTGGAGTGCAATGGCTCGATCTCGGCTCACCGCAACCTCTGCCTCCTGGGCTCAGGCAATTCTCCTGTCTCAGCCTCCTGAGTAGCTGGGATTACAGGCATGCGCCACCATGCCCAGCTAGTTTTTTGTATTTTTAGTAGAGACGGGGTTTCACCATGTTGACCAGGATGGTCTCGATCTCTTGACCTCGTGATCCACCCACCTCGGCCTCCCAAAGTGCTGGGATTACAGGCTTGAGCCACCGCGCCCGGCTATTTATTTTATTTTTTGAGACCTGGTCTCACACTCTAGCCCAGGCGGGACTGCAGTGGCCTGATATTAACTCACTGTAGTCCTTGCAGCCTTGAGAGAACAGTAAAAGGAAAACAAGGAATTTGTTAGCCCTGACCTCCTTGGCTCAGTCGATCTTGCTTCAGCCTCCTGAGTAGCTAGGACTGCAGGTGCACATCATCATGCCTGGCTAATGTTTTGTTTTTTCTGGAGGCAGGGTCTCACTGTGTTGCTGTCTGGTCTCAAACTCCTAAGCTCAAGCAATTCTCTCGCCTTGGCCTGGCCTCCCAAAGTGCGGGATTATAAGCATGAGCCACCTTGCCCAGCCTAAAAACAGTTTTAGAAGATAGGAGTAACAGTCCCTTCAGTTATCACCTGTAATAATGTCCTTATTTAAAGAAAAGCCCTAAGGGATACTACAGAAATCTTGTTGGCCAGGATAATCTTGAACTCCTGGCCTAAAGCAGTTCTCCTGCTTGATTTGCAGGTATTTTTGGTGCCCACCCCCCCAACTTTTTAAAAATTAATTTTTCTTATGCTTTATCATGTTGGTTTCTGCTTTTAGTATCAGATTAATGCTGACTTCACAATGAATTGAGAAGTATTTCTTCCTCTTCTGTTTTCTGCAGTAGTTTCTGTAGAATTCTTACTGTTTCTTCCTTAATGTTTGATGACATTTACCAGTGAAGCTACATGGGCCTAGAGTTTTTTTTTTTTTTTGGAGACGGAGTTTCGCTCTTGTTACCCAGGCTGGAGTGCAATGGCGCGATCTCGGCTCACCGCAACCTCCGCCCCCTGGGTTCAGGCAATTCTTCTGCCTCAGCCTCCTGAGTAGCTGGGATTACAGGCACGCACCACCATGCCCAGCTAATGTTTTGTATTTTTAGTAGAGACGGGGTTTCACCATGTTGACCACATTGGTCTCGATCTCTTGACCTCATGATCCACCCGCCTCGGCCTCCCAAAGTGCTGGGATTACAGGCTTGAGCCACCGCACCCAGCCTGGGCCTAGAGTTTTTTTTTGGTGGCAAGTTTTAAACTACAGAATCAGTCTTCTCGGTAGATACATGACTACTTGGTTATCTCTTTCTTCTTGGGTAAGCTTTAGCAGCTTGTATCTTTCTAGGGATTTACTCATTTTACTATATTGACAGTTTATTATAGTCCCTCATTATGCCATTAATGACTGTAGAGACTGTACTTGCCCCTCTCTCTTTTTTTTTTTTTGAGATGGAGTTTCACTCTTGTTACCCAGGCTGGAGTGCAATGGCGCGTATCTTGGCTCACCGCAACCTCCGCCTCCTGGGTTCGGGCGATTCTCCTGCCTCAGCCTCCTGAGTAGCTGGGATTACAAGCACGCGCCACCATGTCCAGCTAATGTTTTGTATTTTTAGTAGAGACGGGGTTTCACCATGTTGACCAGGATGGTCTCGATCTCTCGACCTCGTGATCCACCCGCCTTGGCCTCCCAAAGTGCTGGGATTACAGGCTTGAGCCACCGCGCCCGGCCTTGCCCCTCTCTTGATTCTGTTATTGGTAATTGTGACTTACCTTTTTTTCCCCTGACAGTCTGCCTAGAGGCTTAGTAGTTTTATTGATCTTAAAAAACCAGCTGGGGCCGGGCGCGGTGGCTCAACCCTGTAATCCCAGCACTTTGGGAGGCCGAGGCAGGTGGATCACGAGGTCCAGAGATTGAAACCATCCTGGTCAACATAGTGAAACCCTGTCTCTACTAAAAATACAAAAAACTAGCTGGGCGTGGTGGCGCGTGCCTGTAATCCCAGCTACTTAGGAGGCTGAGGCAGGAGAATTGCCTGAGCCCAGGAGGCGGAGGTTGCGGTGAGCCGAGATTGCGCCATTGCACTCCAGCCTGGGTAACAAGAACGAAACTCCGTCTCGGGGAAGAAAAAAAAAAAAAAAAAAACCAGCTGGGCTGTGACCTATGCCTGTAGTCCCAGCTGCTGGGCAGGAGTATCGCTTGAGCCCAAGAGTTCAGGAATGTAGTGTGCTGTGATCATGCCTGTGAGTAGTCACTGCACTCCAGTCTTTGGGCAACAGTGAGACTCTCTCTTTAAAAAGAAAAGAAAAGAAACCTACTTTTGGATTTTGTTTTTTGTTTTTTTTTTTCTCTATAGCATTTGTTTTCCAGGTAATTTATTAATTTATGTTTTCTTTGTACTTAATTTTATTTTCTTTTCCTGGTTGTATACTCTTTTTTTTAAAGGTGGGGAAGCTTAGGTCATTAATTTGATACCTTTCTCTCTCATAATATATGTATTTAAGTCTATAATTTGGGGGTAAGTACTGCTATTGCTCAGTACTATTTTTTGGCTACAAGAGAAATTAAGATGAGTTTTTTAGTTGAACATGTCCTCTAAGCTTAATTAGGGTTCTATAAGTAAGGAAATCAGAGAAGAATGAAATTCAGTAGGAGCCTGACAGTGCGCCATGGCCACAATTTTAAAAATCAAGCTACATGGCTACATGCTATTTTACAATGTCATTGTCATAAATTTACAATCCACATCTTCTTGCTTTTTTTTTTTTTTTTTTTTTTTTTGAGATGGAGTTTCGCTGTTGTTACCCAGGCTGGAGTGCAATGGCGCAATCTTGGCTCACCGCAACCTCCACCTCCTGGGTTCAGACAATTCTTCTGCCTCAGCCTGCTGAGTAGCTCGAATTACAGGCATGTGCCACCATGCCCAGCTACTTTTTCGTATTTTTAGTAGAGACAGGGTTTCACCATGTTGACCAGGATGGTCTCGATCTCTTGACCTCATGATCCACCCGCCTCGGCCTCCCAAAGTGCTGGGATTACAGGCTTGAGCCACCGCCAGCTATCTTCTTGCTTTTTAGAGGTGGTAGATTAGCCTGAAGTATATTTAAAATTATTCCTAAGAAAAAATAAATAAATAAATAAAAATTTTTCTTTGGCCGGGTGTGGTGGTGTGTGCCTGTAGTCCCAGTTGCTTGGGAGGCTGAGGTGGGGGATTGCTAGAGCCTGGCAGATGAAGGTGGTAGTTCTCTAAGATTGCACTACTGCACTTCAGCCTGGGCGAAGGAGTTGAACCTGTCTCAGAAAAAAATGATTTTCCATTTAATTTTTTGCTACATGATTGCCTGATAGTAAAAGCCAAAACGTGATTTCCTTAGTTTTATATTAGCAGTCCACATGGGTTGTTTTTTGTTTTTTGGTTTTTTTACCTATTTGTTGTGAAAAATTTCAAGCGTGTTCAAAAGTTGAAATAGTATATTGAGCCTCTTTGTATTCATTAGCTAATTTTGGTAATTATCAACAGATGGCCAGTCTTCTTTCCTTTGTATCCCATCGTATTCGAATTATTTTGAAGCAAATCTCAGAATTCATTGTTTCATTAATTAATACTCTGGCATATATATTTAAAAGATAAAGGCTCTTTTTGTTTTTAAAAATACTATGACAGTGTCATTATTATACCCTTAAAAATTAACAGTAATTCTGTAATATCATGAGATATCCAGTGTTCAGCTTTAGATTATCTTAGAGTTTTTTCCTCTATAGTATATTTGAGCCAGGAGCTAAGTTCCACTCAAACAACATATTTTGTGGTTCATTAATTAAATCTGTGGCATTAGAACTTTACCAAGGGAAGAACTGTAGATGTTTGCATTTCTCGTTGTCATAATGAAAGCCTTCATTTTAATTAACGGAATTAATAGTTGAAGAATACATTGGTGAAAAAAGTAAACATTTGTCTCTGTTTTAGTAATTTTAAAGAATGGTGTTTTGACTTTATATTTAAAACTTTAATTCTTGTCTTTCTCTAGGCAGGTAATAGATAAACTTTTCTTGATTTTGTTCATTTTCACTTTGATGTTTTAAAAAATGCCTATGATTACTTGAGCCCAGAAGTTCAAGACCAGCCTTGGCAACATAGTGAGAGCCTGTCTCTTTTTTTTGAGACGGACTTTCACTCTTTGTTACCCAGGCTGGAGTGCAATGGCGTGATCTCAGCTCACCGCAACCTCTGCCTCCAGGGTTCAGGCAATTCTCCTGCCTCAGCCTCCCAAGTAGCTGGGACTACAGGCATGCACCACCATGCCCAGCTAATTTTTTGTATTTTTAGTAGAGACGGGGTTTCACCATGTTGACCAGGATGGTCTCGATCTCTCGACCTCGTGATCCACCCGCCTTGGCCTCCCAAAGTGCTGGGATTACAGGCTTGAGCCACCACGCCCGGCCTAAGCCTGTCTCTTAAACAATATATATGTGTATATATGTGTGTATGTGTGTCTATATATACATATACGTATCTTCATTCCAATTTGACTGTGTAAGACAAAGTCCTTGCTCTTAAAGTAGAAGGGACATAGTCAGCAAAACATAATAATGAATGACAGGCTGTTGTATTTCTTCTGTTTGGCCTGCTTTTTGGTTTAACTTGCTCTTCTCCCTGTGTTTTATGACTCCGTCTCACAGGAGAGCCTTATAGACGCAAGTGAAGATAGCCAGCTAGAAGCTGCCATCAGAGCCTCCTTACAAGAAACACATTTTGATTCAACACAGACAAAACAAGAGAGCCGCTCAGATGAAGAATCTGAATCTGAACTTTTTTCTGGCAGTGAGGAGTTCATATCTGTTTGTGGTTCTGATGAAGAAGAGGAGGTAGAGAATCTTGCCAAGTCCAGAAAGTCTCCCCACAAAGATGTGGGGCATAGAAAAGAGGAGAATAGAAGGCCACTGACTGAGCCCCCAGCCAGAACTGACCCTGGGACAGCCACAAACCACCAAGGATTGCCAGCCGTGGATTCAGAAATACTGGAGATGTCACCTGAAAAATCAGATGGAGTAGTGGAGGGCATAGATGTAAATGGTAAGTTACGTTTTATACACATACTTTACCTAAAACTTGGATATTGGGGCCGGGCATGGTGGATCACTGAGGTTAGGAGTTCAAACCAGCCTGGCCAACATGGCAGAATCCTGTCTCTACTAAAAATATAAAACTTAGCCATGTGTGGCGGCACATGCCTGTAGTCCCAGCTACTCGGGAGGCTGAAGCAGGAGAGTGTCTTGAACCAAGGAGGTGGAGGTTGCAGTCAGCTAAGATGGCATCACTGCACTCCAGCCGGGGGGACAGAGCAAGACGCTGTCTCAAAAAAAAAACACACCTTGGATATTGAGCTGGGTCCAGTGGTGTGATCCTGCAGTCCCAGCTACTGGGGAGGCTGTGGCAGGAGAGGCTCTTGAGGCCAGCCTGGGCAGCACCGTGAAACTTTGTCTCTGTGGGAAAAAAACAAAAAACTCAATAATTGCTGAATGGCTTTATTTACATATTTATTTAAACTAATTGTCTGTCTTAAACTTCTATGTCCTGTTTTGTTTTGTTTTTTTAAACCCTTTCTTTAGGACCAAAAGCACAGCTGATGTTGCGGTATCCAGATGGAAAAAGGGAACAGATCACTCTTCCAGAGCAAGCTAAACTGCTAGTAAGTACAGGCTTTGGTCAGTTCCAGACCACTGCAGTAAGATGAGTCACAAACTGGTTTCTTGGTGCATATAGAAGTTACATTTACGTTATTCCATGGTCTGTTATGTGTGCAGAAGCATTATATCTTTAAAAATAAAAAGCGCCGGGCGCAGTGGCTCAAGCCTGTAATCCCAGCACTTTGGGAGGCCGAGGCGGGTGGATCACGAGGTCAAGAGATCGAGACCATCCTGGTCAACATGGTGAAACCCCGTCTCTACTAAAAATACAAAAAATTAGCTGGGCATGGTGGCGCGTGCCTGTAATCCCAGCTACTCAGGAGGCTGAGGCAGGAGAATTGCCTGAACCCAGGAGGCGGAGGTTGCGGTGAGCCGAGATCGCACCATTGCACTCCAGCCTGGGTAACGAGCGAAACTCCGTCTCAAAAAATAAATAAATAAATAAATAAATAAATAAAAAGCACATCACTTAATTAAAAAACACGTTTGCTAAAAAGTGCCAACAATCATCTGAATCCTCAGTGAGTCGTCATCTTTTTGTTGATGGAGGGTCTTGATATTATGGCTACTGACTGATCAGGGTGATGGGTGCTGCGGCAGTTTCCTAAAATGTGACAGCAATGAAGTTGCTGCATCAATTGACGATCCCTTTTACAAAAACTCTCTCTGTAGCATGTGTTGCTGTATGATAGTATTTTACCCACAGTAGAACTTCTTTCAAAACGGGAGTCAGTCTTCTCAAACTTTGCCCAAGCTTTATCTACTAAGTTTGTGTAGTATTCCAAATCCTTTGTTGTTATGTCAACAATGTTAACAGAATCTTCACCAGGAGTAGATTCCATCTCAAGAAATCAATTTCTCTGCTCATCCACAAGAAGCAACTCCCCCACTTTTAATGAACGTTTGATCATGAGATTGCGGCCGTTGAGTCACACCATCATCCTCCACTTCTAGATCTCCTGCAGTTTTTACCCCACCTGCAGTTACTTCCTCCAGTGATTTCCTAAACCCCTCAAAGTCATCATGATTGTTGGAATCAACCTCTTCTAAAGTCCTATTCATGTTGATATTTTGACCTCCTATGAATCATGAATGTTCTTAATGCCATTTAAACTGGTGAATCCTTTCCAGAAGTTTTCCAGTTTGCCCAGATCTATCAAAGGAATCTGTATTTATGGCAGCAATATCCTTTAAAAAAAAAAAAAAAAAAGTAGAGGGGGGTGTGTGTTGCCAAGGCTGGAGTGCAGTGGTCATAGTGCACTATAACCTTGACTCTCCCCCCAACCCCTGCCCTGATGATCCTCCTTCCTCACCCTCCTGAGTGTCTTCACTCAATTTTTTTTTCTTTTTTTTTTTTTTTTTTTGGTAGAGATGGTTTCTTGCTGTGTTGTCAGGGCTTGTCTCAACTCCTGGCCTCAAGTAATCCTCTCACCTCAGCCTCCCAAAGTGTTGAGATTTGACCCCATGCCTGGCCAAATGTATTTCTTTTTTTTTTTTTTTTTGAGACGGAGTTTCGCTCTTGTTACCCAGGCTGGAGTGCAGTGGCGCGATCTCGGCTCACCGCAACCTCCGCCTTCTGGGTTCAGGCAATTCTCCTGCCTCAGCCTCCTGAGTAGCTGGGATTACAGGCACGCACCACCACGCCCAGCTAGTTTTTTGTATTTTTAGTAGAGACGGGGTTTCACCATGTTGACCAGGATGGTCTTGATCTCTCGACCTCGTGATGCACCCGCCTCGGCCTCCCAAAGTGCTGGGATTACAGGCTTGAGCCACCGCGCCCGGCCAATTTCTTAAATAAGATTTTAAAATTGAAATTACTCCTCGATCCATGGGCTGCATGGAGAATGGATGTTGGGTTAGCAGACTGGAAACAATATTCATTTTTATCTACATTTGTATCAGAGCTCTTAGGTGACTAGGTGCATTGTCAGTGAGCAGTTAATATGTTGAATTTTTTTTCTGAGCAGTAGGTCTCAACAGTGGGCTTAAAATATTCAGTAAGCCATGCTGTAAATTGATGTGCTGTCATCCAGGTTTTGTTGTTACAGTTATAGAACACAGGCAGAGTAGATTTAACATAATTTTTAAGGGACCCGGGATTTTGGAATGTTAAATGAGTGTTGGCTTCAACTGGAAGTCACCAGCTGCATTACCACCTAACAAGAAAGGCAGCCTCTTTGAAACTATGAGGGCAGGCACTGACTTTTCCTCTCTAGCTGTGAAAGTCCTAGATGGCATCTTCTTCCAATAGAAGGCTGTTTTGTCAAACATGAGAAACTGTTAATGTCATTACCTTCATGAATTATCTTAACTACATCTTTTGGATGAGTTTCTGCACTCGCTGCATCAGCACTTGCTGTGTCACTTTTTTTTTCCTTTTTTGTTTCTTTTTCACCTTGCACTTTTTTATGTCATGGAGATGGCTTCTTTCCTTCAACCTCATGAACCAACCTCTACTAGCTTCCAGCTTTTCTTCTGTAGCTTCCTTATCTCCCTTAGACTTCATAGGATTGAAGTGAGTTAGAACCTTGCTTTTGATTAGGCTTTAACTTAAGGGAATGTTGTGACTGGTTTGATTTTTCTCTACAGACCACGAAAACTTTCTCCTTTTCAGCAGTAAGGCTGTTTTTCTTTCTATCATTTGTATTTTCACTGGTGTAGCACTTTTAATTTCCTTTAATAACTTTTCCTTGCATTCATAGCTTGGCTAACTGGTGCAAGAGGCCTAGCTTTGCTTCTGTCTCAACTTTCAACATGCGTTTCTCACTAAGCCTAATCATTTTTAGCATTTTATTGATTTTGAGAATGTACAACAGTTCCTTTCACTTGAATATTTAAAGGCCTACAATGGTAGGGTTATTAATTGGCCTAATTTCAGTACATTTCATGTCTGGGGGAATAAGAAGGCCTGAGTAGAGGGAGAAAGATGGGAAAACTGCTGGTAGGTGGAGCAGCCAGAACAAACTAATTTCTCAAGGTTGTGGTTTTGTGTGGGCATGGTTTGTGGCGCCCCAAAACAACTAAAATAGTAACCTCAAAGACAGTGGCTCACAGATACGATTATAATAGGTAAAATAATGAAAAAGAATACTGCAAGCATTACCAAAAGGGACGCAGAGGCGTGGCATGAGCACATGCTGTTGGAAAGTGGAGCAGCAGAGGCGCTGACCAAGGCTGCTGTAGACCTCCAGCAAAGGGAAGCACAGTGGCACCGGGCATGCCTCTGTTCTAATTGGAAGCATTGTCTCGAAGCAGAGAAGCTATTTAATTGGAGTAAGTTCAGCGAGATTTGCTTGATAATTCTTTGAAATAGGTGTGGGAGGCTGGATACAGTGGCTCACTCCTGTAATCCCAGCATTTTGGGAGGCCAAGGCAGGAGGATCACTGGAGTCCAGGAGTTTGAGACCAGCCTGGACAATAAAGTGAGACCCTGTCTCTATGAAAAAAAGAAAGAAATAGGTGTTAGGTGTTTAGTCTGATCTCTATCTGCAAACTGTGGTGAGTCATGCTGTTGGCTGGCCGGCTGGCTGGTTGGTTTGACACAGGGTCTTGCTGTTTTGCTCACCTGAGGTCCACCTGCTCCACCTCCATGACTCCACTGGAGGTCACTGGCCCAGTCTGCTCACAGCAGCCTCTGCCTCCTGGGCTCAAGCTAGCCTCCAACCTCAGCCTTAGCCTCCCAGGTAGCTGGGACCGCAGGTGTGTGCCACCACACTCAGCTAATTTTTAAGAAATCTTTTTTGTAGAGAAGGGTTCTCACTATGATCTTGAACTCCCGAGCTCAAGTGATCCTCCTGCCTCAGCCTCCTCAAGTGTTGGGATTACAGGTGGGAGCACCCGGTCATGAATCTTAATTATTTCGTTTATTTCCTTCCCAGATTAACTTAGGTAAGCCACACATAGGTTGCAGTGAAGATTTTTCTGTTTCATGCCTGCATGGAATAGAAACCCAACTGAAATGATTACTTCTGGAAAAGGATGCCTGGGGTTATTTGACGAGAATAGTGGTTTTCCTAGTAGCTGGAGCTGCAGAGTGTTTAAGAGTTACGTCTGGCCAGGCGCGGTGGCTCACACCTGTAATCTCAGCACTTTGGGAGGCCGAGGCAGGCGGATCATGAGGTCAAGAGATCGAGACCATCCTGGTCAACATGGTGAAACCCCGTCTCTACCAAAAATACAAAACATTAGCTGGGCATGGTGGCGCGTGCCTGTAATCCCAGCTACTCAGGAGGCTGAGGCAGGAGAATTGCCTGAACCCAGGAGGCGGAGGTTGCAGTGAGCCGAGATCGCGCCATTGCACTCCCGCCTGGGTAACAAGAGTGAAACTCCGTCTGAAAAAAAAAAAAAAAAAAAGAGTTACATCTGATTTTCTGTTTCTCTTCTGGGGCCTGCAGGTTTTCTCTTGCAATCCTTGCTTCACACCAATCTCTCTATACTGGTGGCTTTTGTTTATTCCTCAACTCGTACATGGTCCATCTTGGTGATGCTGCAGGCATTTTCATCTAAAATTCACAGACAGTGAGCTTTCTGGGTTTCTTCTTCTTCCTCTTCTTCTTTTTCCTTTTTTTGGAGACAGGCTCTGTCTCTGCCCAGGCTGGAATGCAGTGGCACGATCACGGCTTCCTGCAACCTCTGCCTCCCATGCTTAAGCCGTTCTCCTCCCACCTCCACCTCCCCAGTAGCTGGGACTACAGGAACATACCACCATACCCGGCTAGGTTTTATTTTTGTTTTGAGAGAAAGTCTGGCTGTCACCCAGGCTAGAGTGCAGTGGCATGATCTTGGCTCACTGCATTCAATTCCAGGTTCAAGCAATTCTCCTGCTGCAGCCTCCCAAGTAGTTCGGATCACAGGTGCGTACCACCATGCCCAGCTAATTTTTTTGTATTTTTAGTAGAGATGGGGTTTCACCATGTTGGCCAGGCTGGTTTTGAACACCCGACCTCAGGTGATCCGCCCTCCTCAGCCTCCCAAAGTGCTGGGATTACAGGCATGAGCCACCTCGCCTGGCCTATATTTTTTGATGAGATGGGGTTTTACCATGTTGCCCAGGCTGGTCTCAAACTTCTGTGCTCAAGCTGTCCACCCGTCTCGGCCTCCCACAGTGCTGGGATGACAGGTTTTGAGCCACCATACCTGACATCCTCTGTTTTTTAACTGCTGGAAAACAGAATCTTGAGTGTGATTAGCTTAGCTTAGCCTGTGAATGAATCCCTTGGGTCAGGCATTCCTGGCCATTGCTGTGGCTGGAGATAATTAGGCTGATTCTTGAAGACCATATTACCAAAATGCAAGCAGTGTTTAAGTTTGATGGGAAGCAGAGAGGGAGTACTGAAGCCACCTGCAAAAGGTGGGATATTCTCTGGTGGTACCATTTCTGAGAAGTGAAGAGGAGATTCAGTGTGCAGGTAGCTAGATTGGCTGTAGGTAGAACGAAGGCCATACCTTCCTTGCTAAAAGGAAGAAAAGAAAACTGATAATGTTGAAAATAAGAACAATAATTTAATTGTATAAATAGTGACGGTGTATTTATTGGGGAGACAAATAATAACTGTGTGTATTTCAGTATCACTTAATGGCTTTAAGTAACTGGGTGCAGATAGATCATCTCCCCGTCCGAAGGGCAAGCTTTGGTTATCTGAAGGAGGGACCTACACTAAATAGCTGATGTGATATGATTAAAAAGAGAATGTTTTATATCTAATTCACTAATATGCTCTTTCCTTTTATTTGCATCTCACGGCTTTGTCTTTCTCTTGTTGTTGGTAGGCTTTGGTGAAGCACGTCCAGTCTAAAGGATACCCAAATGAACGATTTGAACTCCTCACCAACTTTCCTCGAAGGAAATTGTCTCATCTGGACTATGATATTACCTTGCAAGAGGCAGGCCTTTGTCCTCAAGAGACTGTCTTTGTACAGGAAAGAAATTAACACCATGGCCTGACCTCTCTCAGCTTACCCCTTTTTTCCCTTTTCCCATGAGATACCATGTCACTAAGTGTGCATTTGGCTCATAGGACCACAGAGCCAGAGTTGGGCAAGCAAGTCACCTTCCTTCTCTTTCATTTCTTGATCTCTCCTATGATCAGCCTCTTTCTTTCTTTCTCCCCTCTGTTCTCTCCCTCCCCACTCTGTCCCCTTCCTCCCCTCTCCCCCAGCACTTTCTTTCTTACCTAATCTGGTGACCAAATTGAAGTGTAAGGATAAGACCTCTCCTAGTACCAGCAGCAGGAACTGTGTGTTCCAGTCAGTGGTCTCTTGCACGGCACTTTTTTGGGATCAAATGTTAATGTTACTCCCCAGACTCCTCTGGCAAAGGAATGGCTAGATTCACAGTAAGAACAACCTCCCTTTTTTGTAAGCCCCCATTTTTAGTAGGGAGAAGAAATTCTCTAACATGTGTTTCATTTTGTTGTATTCTTCATGTAGGAAATGTCACTTAACAAAATATCCAGGCTTTTGTTTATGTGGAAAAAGCATCCCTTGTAATGATTGCTCATCATACTTAAAAACTTTCGTCAAAGGATGTTCATGTTCCCAGCTATAAGAACTATTTCCATGACATGTGTCATTGGCAGAATGAGCATTACATATGGAGTGTATAGCTTGGAGTGACTTTCATTGTCCTGGCCTGAGATAATTTTATTCCTCTGTATCGATCCTGCTGGTCCAAGAACGAACATGAAGGAGCCTGTCGTGGTGACGGGGATGGGCAGGTGCTTGCTGTTTCTGCCAGCACTGTGTATCCGTTCCCTTGGAGTCCTCCATCGTCTGGGTCTGCAGTGATGGGTAGGAAGGCAGCTGGTCAATCATCATGTCGTGCAATGGCTTGTCACTGTGACCACTGTGGTTATTGATTGTCCTGTGTTGTTTCAGGCACACTGAGGTATGTCCCTGGGGAGAAAGAAAGCCATTCAGCTGAGAATTGCTAACCACCTTCTTTTGGTTAGAAATAATGGTTCATTTTTTGCCCCTGGTTGAATAGTCTGAAAGGCTCTGGTGACTGAATTGTACTTGAGTCCGCATGCTGTTTTCTTTCAAAAGGTATCAAAACTGAAGAAAGCCTCTCTAAAGGGAAGACCTTTAAACTCAATTCAGAAGACAACATTTAGTAGTGGGGATGGTGGAGGTTACTAGTAATTTTCAGATGTGGGTTTTTTCTGCCAACAAAACCCAATTCAAATTGGAGTTGGTCAAAGCTTTCTTCAGTATTTTTTAGAAGAGGCCATCTTGAATCTACATAATACCATTTATATATCAACTTCACTCTATGCTCAGTTCTTATTTTGAGCTTAAATGGAGTCCTCTGAAGGGGTAGTAGTGATTCTGGTGGCAAAACTAGAACTTTTAACTTGTAAAATTAAAATATTAAATGAACCTTTTTTGTCAATTGAGGATTTAGATTGATTTTTTAATCTGAGGAACATAAACTGATGTTGCTTAGAAACCTTTAGGTTTTCATCTACTTTAAGATTGCTCTCTTGACAATTAGGGGATTTGGGAAAAGAAAAAAAAGATGTGTTGCTAGTACTAAATTATAGAATATGATTTCTAATGGTGGGTTGGATTTCGAGGAACCTTCCCTAAAGAATGAGTTATGTATCTCCTCACAGAAATCATGGAAAATTGTTTATTCTTCAGTGAGTCCTTTTGAATTAATGTTCTTACATTTTTTCTAAGTCTGTGTAAGTGCTATGTATAAGTATATAATTGTATAAATATTTATAAATATATTTATATAATTACGGTTTCATTTCTACCTTGAGTCAAAGTTCTCTCTCTAGAGTGGTGACTAATACTTACACTTTGGTGTTTTTTATGGCTCTTGAGGCTTAACCAGCAGCTTTTGATTTATTGAGCAAAAGATGGTTTTTATGTTAATTCCTCAATTGTGTCTCTGAACTTGGGTAACATACTTGCTGTTTGAAGAATAGAGCTATGTACTATTAAAGGTGCCCTGGAGGGTAAGACATTTGTTGGTAGTAGACAAGGTCAGAAATCTAAAAATTCAGGGAGGCACAGGGTAAGAAAAGGAGGTATGCTCAGCTTGGTGCGCTGATGGCCCCCATTTGCACGCCCAGCAGAGTCACAGCTGAAGCCCAAATCAGTCAGACATGTCAACAGTTTACCCATGGGGCTCTGTTTCATTCTCTTTACCTTCTAGCTTCTCATGGTAAAACATATTCAGAGAAGCTGGTAGCGTGTCCGTTAGTGAGGGGATGTAGTTCTTATCCATGTGCTCAGCACTTGCATATTCATTTATGAGAAACCAAAGTGACTTTTTCAACTTAGGCTACTGTGAGATGACTAAGTATACATAAAGTGATTGAAGAGATGGCGTGCCACATTCATCCAACTTAACATCTAACTGGGATTTTACAATGCAAGAGTAGTGGATTTTGTTTTATTTTATTTTGAGGCAGGAGTGTCATTATCTTAGGGTTGATACAGAGGTCCATGGGAGGAGTTACGGATTGTACATGGGAAGAATACATAAGGAGTATTGCCTTGCTCAAGAATTTAATCTGGCCGGGTGCGCTGGCTCACGCCTGTAATCCCAGCACTTTGGGAGGCCGAGGCGGGTGGATCACAAGGTCAAGAGATCGAGACCATCCTGGTCAACATGGTGAAACCCCATCCCTACTAAAAATACAAAAAAATTAACTGGGCATGGTGGCACATGCCTGTAATCCCAGCTACTCAGGAGGCTGAGGCAGGAGAATTGCCTGAACCCAGGAGGCAGAGGTTGTGGCCTGGGTAACAAGCGAAACTCTGTCTCCAAAAAAAAAAAAGAATTTAATCCACTGACAGGAGTATGCTTCTTCCAGTTTGCCTGATTTCCTCTGCTCTTTAGGGGAGAGGTTTTATTGACTAGATTCAATGAGGTCAGTAAGGTTAGTTAAAAATAGTCATTCCTTGTGGGTGTTGGAAACAGTTTGAAAGAGAGTGTTAAAAAAAAAAAAAAAGCTAGGGAGGAAAAGAACAAGAAAGATAGACTTCCAGAGTGATAAGAGAAAAATACAGGGAGATGGAATGAAAACTGGTGGAAAGGCCAGGTGCAGTGGCTCATGCCTGTAATCCCAACACTTTGGGAGGCCGAGGCGGGCAAATCACCTGAGGTCAGGAGTTCAAGACCAGCCTGGTCAGCATGGTGAAACTGCATCTCTACTAAAATGCAAAAATTACCTGGGTGTGGTGGCGGACACCTGTAATCACAGATACTCAGGAGGCTGTAGCAGGAGAATGGCTTGAATGCAGGAGGCAGAGGTTGCAGTGAGCTGAGATTGCGCCACTGCACTCCAGCCTGGGCAACAGAGGGAGACTCCATCTCAAATTTAAAAACAAACAAAACTAGTGGGGGGAAAAGGTAAGGGGAATACTTTTTTGGATTTGATATCAGAAGGAACCAGAGAAGAGACAGAACGATGCCAAATGAGAATAGAATGGGAAACTAATACTGAGTAATGGGCATGTGCTAGGTACTTGTATGTACATTTTCCTCCCGTTGTGTAAAGAAGAAAACAGGTATAGAGAACTTAGGATGCCGTAGCTACTGAGTGGCAAATCAGAGTTGGAACCCAGAGTCCTTAGACGGGTTTAACTTCCATGCTGCGTTCTCCTGCAGCGAGAGAATCAAGTTACTCAGATGATTATCTTCTCATTGTTGAGCTTTGTACATTATCATTTAGTTTTGTTCCTTTAAATATAGGAAAGCAGTTGGGTTAAAATTGTGGGATTTGCACTGTGCCTATACATTTTTATTTATGCCATTGAGAGGCTGATGATTGCTTTTTAAAAATGGTGCACTGTTGAAGGTGTGAAAGGAAAATCACTATGTGGCATTATTTGCCAAGAATAAATGAAAAGGATAAAAAAAGAATTTTATCTTCTTTTAACCATTTTTCAAAAATGATGCAATTTTCTTTTTTTTATGAGGTGGAGTCTCTCTCTGTTGCCAGGCTGGAGTGCAGTGGCGCCATCTTGGCTCCCTGCAACTTCTGCCTCCCAGGTTCACGTGATTCTCCTGCCTGAGCCTCCTGAGTACTGGGACTGCAGGAGCACGTCCAGCTAATTTTTGTATTTTTAGTAGAGACGGGTCTCACCATGTTGGCCAGGACGTTCTTGAGCTCTTGGCCTCATGATCCACCCGCCTCGGCCTCCCAAAGTGCTGGGATTACAGGTGTGAGCCACTGCGCCCAGTCTGCAGTTACCTTTTCTGTCCCAGCAATACCAGATTATTATAGACCTTCTGTGTGTATGTTTTTAAATCTTGTATATAATTCTACTTCTTGACTATACAAGTCAACAATTATCTATTGAGTTCTAAATTGAAGTCGGAAATATTTTGAAACCTAAGATCTAATTCCTCGCTGGGTGTGGTGGTTCACGCCTGTAATTCCAGCATTTTGGGAGTCCGAGGCAGGCGGATCACCTGAGGTCGTAAGTTTGAGATCAGCCTGGCCAGCATGGTGAAATCCCGTCTTTACTAAGAATACAAAAATTAGCCGGGCATGGTGGTGCATGTCTGTGATCTCAGTTGCTCGGGAGGCTGAGGCACTCCAGCCTGGGAGACAGAGCGAGACTCCGACTCAAAAAATAATAGAGATCTGATTCCTGCCTGTTTTCTCCAGTTAGGGAGACACACTACGCATGAAATAATTGGAGAGCACGTAAATGTTTACTTTTCTGGGATTGCACTATAATTGAAGTTTAGAAAAGGGAAGGAATAGTGTATGTTTTAGTTAGCAAAGTTCTTAAGACTGAAAAGTAGCAAGCACTGTAGCTCAGATTTCTTTTTGACTCACCTGCTTCTTCAGCTCCACCTTCTGTAACTTCTAGATTTATGGCATGAAGTTCTGTCAGTAAGGCATAGCCAGTACCCAAATGGGAAAGAATCACTGATCTCCCACAGTAAAGATTCCTAGCTAGCAGGGATCTCACTGACACACTTAAAACACCGGAGGGAGCACTAGCAACTGGAAAATTAAGGCTGTATCTCATTTCTCTCCACCCAGGTACCAATTAAACGCATAGAGTCGTCTGCCCTACATTCAGAAAGGCCGCCAGTGGCGGCCATGCGCTTGGGGAACAAATCTGCTCATTGTCACCTTCACGCTTCTCTCTTCTTAATCTCGGGTTTCTCATCTGAAAAATGAGAGAATTGGACCAGATTAATACTTCTCAGCCTTTTCTAGACACCGAATTAGATGATCTCTGAAGTCCTTTTCCACTCATGTCTTAAGCTTCCGCTCTCTCCCCTTTATTGCATGTTATCCCTAGGCTGATTAAAATGTGCTAGTTAATCAGTTTCTTTTCTTTTCTTTTCTTTTTTATTTTTCTATGTTCAGGTATCATTTGACCAATGCTCGTAATTTTACTGTGATGACTGAAGTCTCCCAAAAGGAGAGAATAATAGTTACAGGTCTAGTAGTAATTTAAATATTCCTTATTTTTGAAAACTTAATGCTGTGTGCCTAATCAGTGTTAAGTATGTAACTAAAATGTAAGTGAGAACCAAATATGTCACTAACACTGGCATTAAATATTATTTTTATTTGTATACTTACTTAAAGTACTTTACTGGCCTACTGGGAAATTGATTTGCATAAGTTGTAAGATTCACACGTTTTGGTAGAAACAACTTTTTCAATATACAATTAGGTTGACTTTTAAATATGTTTCTTATCCTGTAGAGCGTATCATTATGATGTCATTCTTACCCTGTCTCTACCTTTTTGACCATTTAACGACTCAGTAAATCATGGGGTGCAGGCTGATGAATTAGTAGTCTTGTGTAGGACTAAAAAGTAATGAGCGTAGGAAGAACCACTTTTCCTGGGGAACATGGCAGTTTTCCAGTAACACAAGCCTTGATGAAGGCTAAGGCAGCTGTTGTACTGCAGACACTCAACTTCACTGGGTGGCCTCTCTTAACATTTCACCCAGTCTTGCCATGAAACGTGGTGTTGCACAGTACACATCTTAGAATAGTGGCAAGAATGTTCTTTACTTCCCAACTGCAGAATCCAACAGGGAATATACCAATATATTGGTTTCTCCTGTTACGTAGAGATTTGGTATTTCAGTGATGGTTATTTTGGTTTTTGACTCACCTATGTGTCCTGCTAGAGAGACAGTTCAGAATCTTTAAAAATAGAGATTATGGTGGCCTTGTATTTTGCCTGTGAAGTGAATTTACATGGCGGTATTATTGGATATGATGGTGAGACCCTTAATTAGAAAATCTTCTAATCCTGCTCTCTGTTTTACTTCTCCATTTATTTTTAACATTCATTATCTTAAAATGTTACGATTTTTAATGTAATTGGCTATGTTTAAGAAATTCCATTTCAAAGTCTTTAATATGTAACAATCTTCATTTTTATAAAATCAAAGGAAATTTTTGAGGCAAACTTACGGCTTATTTTCCCTGTAGCTAAGGAGACTTCTCTTATTTCAAATAGAGCGTGGCTAGCCCTGCTAGGCCCACCTTCTTTGTGGCCTGCCAGTTGCTGCTGTATGGCTTAAATCTCAGTCTCATAAGCATGATTTTTGGCATAGGCCTCTCTTTGCCATATTGATTTTAAAATAAAGTTGGACAATCCAATTTGAACTACTTTAATAAACATAATTTAGCATTTCTGTAATGAGAAAGTATTTTCAAAAGATAACCAGATTTTCTTCTAGGATTAGAGATGGCAAATGCCAAGAACAATCACATCTTAATCTATAAATATGGAAAGTTTCGTTGTACTTA